AGGGGCGGGGCCAAAAGGGGGCAATTTGGCTATATTGCTTTAAGCGACTTCTTCTCTGGAACTAAGAGATGGATATCAACCATATTTCACTGGAAGCATCTCTAGGTGGTGGGGATTCAAAATTTTACAAATGGTGGGGCTGACCCCCCAGGGGGCTGAGGGGCGGGGCCGAAAGGGGGCAATTTAGCTATATTGCTATAAACGACTTCTTCCGTAGAACTATACCATGGATATTGATCATATTTGGTCGGAAGCATTCATGGGAGGCAGGGATTCAAAATTGTACAAATGGTGGGGCTGACCCTCGTGGCGGCTGAGGGGCGGGGCCAAAAAGGGTTATTTAGCTATATTACTTTAAGCGACTTCTTCTCTGGAACTAAGAGATAGATGTCAATCTTATTTGACTGGAAGCATCCCTAGGTGGTGGGGATTTAAAATTTTACAAATGGTGGGGCTGACCCCCCAGGGGGCTGAGGGCTGGGCCAAAAGGGGGCAATTTAGCTATATTGCTAGAAACGACTTCTTCCGTAGAACTATACCATGGATATTGATCATATTTGGTCGGAAGCATTCATGGGAGGCGTGGATTCAAAATTGTACAAATGGAGGGGCTGATCCCCTGGGCAAAGGGGTGGGGCCAAAAAAAAATATACTTGGAAATGGGATCCCCACCATATAACCATATATACAATTGCTGAGTATAAAGAAAGGAATGCATATTTGCTTCCAGGATGGCCCTCGGGTCTGTCCCCACCCTTGGAGACTTAACCCCTGGGTCATAACTTTGAAACGGTTAAGATCCCCACCCCAAAACTATATATACAATTGTTGGGCATATAAAGAGACGAATGCAGTCATGATATTAGTATTGACCCCAGGGTCTGCCCCACCCTTGCAGACATAACCCCTGGGTCATAACTTTGAAACGGTTGAGATCCCCACCCCAAAACTATATATACAAATGCTGGGCAAAAAGAGACAAATGCAGTCATGATATTAGAATTGATCCTGGGGTCTGGCCACAACCCTAGGGCCCTCTGGGCCTCTTGTTGTGAATTTGTATGCATGCATTAATGTACACCTGTTGAAAAGGATATATATATACATGCCAGGCTTTTATGCTAACATTGATTATTATTCACCTGATAACGTGATGCTAAGGTGGATGCTTTATTGTCTTTGAAATGTTTGAAATTTACATTTTTGAATAGGTATATATATAAATCACTCCTGGTGATCAGGTGAAAATACAGGTTTCTACCACAATACGCTGTGTTATTCCACTCTCAGATCATTGTATAAACACGCAAACTGTTAGATAAATATGAGTTATATACCACACGTGGTATATGACCTTCAAGAGTTTTGATTGGTCGAGAAGATGAACTTTGACCGGAACGACTTTTTCCACGCCCTTTGCCACATGCTGTTTTGTTTACGTCGTCTGCTGTCAACATTCGACAAATGTTGGTGACTTTGTGAGGTTATGCGGAAAATGGAGTTATTAAGGCAATATTAAAAGAAGGTGATACTTAAAGATTTAATCGTTAGTTTCAGGCAAAATTGCTACAGTCGCTCGATATCGTTTCGACGTCACACCTTTGCGTGTCCAGGTCGTGAAACCAAAACAAGATCTGTCACAGTGTCGGGAAATATTTCGTTCCCCCAACGTCTCGTTATCACTATATGGACGGCCTGACTATGGCTGAACTTTCACAATAAAGGTCAACCAGAGAACCATCACGAAGAAACGTAGGCCTATGGTTTTGGACATTGACAGCGATACGTTCATCTTCATCACTTGGCGGGAGGTAGACTTCGTACGATATGCTTACGCGCATATAGTCTGTGGTTAATTTATATAAATTAATGTAATACTGATACTCTCAATATCAAAAGTCGTTCATCTATTATATTTTTTCATGAAGTTGTTGCCGAAACATTAATTTTGACAATTATTAAATTTGTAAAAAAAATGTCATATTTGAATATTAATGAGTGACTTTTTACATATGGGTCATATCACTACGCCAGCCTTGTCAACAAACACATGCGTGTATGTTATTTCCGACTGATCATGAGATTGTGGTAGACACAGATCACACGACTCTTGGTTGTTAAGTATGGTATTTATTTCACTCTCGTTAGTTAATTTTCAAAGTTACAGAAAGACACTCGCTAAAGCTCGTGTATTTTGTAACTTTTGTAACTTTTGTAACTTTTGAAAATTAACTAACTCGAGTGAAATAAATACCATATTCAACAACCATTCGTTGTGTAACCTCTATTCATATTTCATGAAGTGGACTCTACCTTTGAAATAACAATTAACCTATATACCTAATTCCAACAGATGGTTTATCCTCTCTCAACGGACAGGGTGATCACCACACCGTGACATTAGAACAATACGATAAGGTAGACAGTCTGTGGAGCCTTAACCACTGACCTGACTGGAGACCCTACTAATATGTAAACAAAAGAGGATTAGTCCCCTATTGTTTAGAGTATAAGTAGTGGACTCCTTGTTTGGGCAACTGCACCCTTAGGCATATATAGATATTCAAACTGCTGCTTGCCATAGAAATTCATAATTCACAGGATGGTTGATATTAGATGAAAATCCCATATGAAAAAGAGGAAAATTTTCAAAAACCGAAGTCCAGATTATTTTTGGACACAGAAAAAAGGGTGCTGCCCGGGCAACTAGTGCAACACCCCTGGGTCCACCACTGTTGTTTAACAGACTGACTATAAGCACGAACTCGAAATCGGTAATACCAAATATGGATAATAGCTGTTTTAAGTTACTGATCAGTAGAATACAGTAGATCACATTCCCTAAGACAACAGTCGACATTACTATGAGCGAGTGTGCTGATGTCATTGTGCAGCTTCATGCCATATTTGAATTTTGTTTTGTTTCAATAGCCAATTAGTTTGTTCCCGTTTGTTACCAAAAGTAACAGTTTTAAAAGGAAATAGACTAACAGGAAATAAAAGCCAGGAAAAGGAAATAAAAGCCAGGAAATAAAAGCCATTAAGTGCATTAAAGCCATTTTTGTCTCTGTGGAGTATAACATACAGATAGATAATTTGTGATATTTTCTTATATTGGATATATTTTTTAGAGGTTTTTGGAAGTTGAAGAACGGCAGTCTGAAGAATATTCCTTTCCACACTGCTTTAGTCTGGATTGCTGATGATTTTAATTATGAATTAGATATATTTCAACATTAGTAGTAATTAGAGCTGAATCAAATATTCAAACCAAATCTAGCTTATTTTACGAGTTACAGACGTTTCGCCCCAGACCATTTTGCCCCAACTTTATTTCACTTGCCCCAATTTTCAGTTCATTTCGTCCCAAGTGTGACAACCATATCACCCAAAATTGTTTACGCCCCAAATATATTACTTAAATATTAATGTTTAGAAACATATAAGGCCAAATAAAAATATGTGTGTTTCCTGTTTCGACTCCAATGAAGATTACCTCCATGAATGTTATTGTTTTAATCGAGTATGAAATACCATAGAAAAGTGAAATAATAATAGATATTACAATACAAAGACATTCTGTTTGTAATATTGTGGATTTAAGTAATAACACTGAGTTTATTTGACAGGTGAACTACATCGCTTGCAATGCTGTGGCATTTTTCTGTGCCATACAGATGAGAAAGCGACTGCCTGGCTCCCCTGAGAACAGCACACAGAGACACATCACTGAACTGTGTATAGGTCTGCTCCTGTCTCTCTTCTGTTTTGGCTAGTAAGTATTCATCATTTCAAAGGAGTTTAATATTCTTTTTATGTAAATGAAGCATGACCATCATTCCCAATGTGTAGTTTACATATATCATTCCCAAGATTTTTAGCTTACCTGGCCCGTTGTCCATCAACTTTTTATTTTGAACGACTTCTTCTAAAGAACTGGAGGACCTAGGGTCACGATATTTGGCCAGTAGGTACCTGGGATGGAATGTAATGGTATAAAGTTTCCTCATTAAAATGACCTTGACCTACTTTCAAGGTCACATGGGTCAAATATGTTAAAGCCTTCAAACAACAATATCCTAAGAACCCTTTGGACTGGAGTCATGGTACTTCAGTATGTTTTGTAGACCAGCAGTGCATTTTTTTTTTTTATTACAGTAATGAGGTCAAAGGTCAACTTCAAGTGCTAATTGGGTTTCAAAAGTCAACATGGGTTAAAAGCTTTAACAATCTTCTTCTCAAGTTCCATATGGCCCAGGGTCATGATATTTTGCCTGTAGGTACCAGGGATAGAGTACTATAAAGTTTCCTTTTTAAAATTACCCTGACCTACTTTCAAGGTCACAGGAGTCAAATATGTTAAAAACTTCAAACAACGATATACTAAGAAGCATTTGATGTAGAGTCATGATACTTGGGTATGTCATATAGACCAGCTGTGAATCGTTTTCTTTATTACAATTATGAGGTCAAAGGTCAACTTTAAGTGCTAGCCGGAGTCAAAGGTCAATGTGGGTTAAAAGCTTTAAAATTAAAATTTGAAATTATGAAGCATTTAAGAGATGTTCAAAATGTCTTGTGTTCTAGTAACCAAATTTGGTCTGAAGTTACCTATGTGTCAGTTTCATGTAACACACGAAACAGGTGAGCGATACAGGTTCTCTGGGCCTCTTGTTTTCAAACCAAAGTTGTGATCACTTATAATGACATTTACTGCAAACTTCTAAATTGTAAAAGACCTTATCACAAAAAGAACTAAAATTCCAGTAGTTTCATGATTTAGGGAAAAGCAAAAGAAAAAAGAGAAGAAAAGGCATTTGGTAACATTTTTATACACAACATTTTCCAAATCCAAGCGATCGCAAGCTTGAGATTGTTATTACCCAGTATACCAGTGATTTGAGGAAGAGCTATATAATTATGTAATATTTCAAAATTATTGAGGTGCAAATATAAATGTTCACATTTCTTGTGTTCATTTCAAAAGCAAATGTCCTGGTTCTTATCGGCCATTTGACTGGATATGCTGTTAATTAGAATCATGTATTCAAAGGACAGACGTGAACTGAAATCAAGATAATAAGTGAGAGACTGTTTCAGCGTAAATCAGTGAGTGTCATGTTTATTTTCCATTGCTGATGTGACATTGTGTTTGTATGTGCTCACATGTACAGGTATTGCTAAAGTAACACACCTAATTCAAATGAATCAAATTACATAGAGCTTTACCGAATGAGTGATGGTTGGTTATCATGTTTAACTAACTTCAGTAAGTTAATTTTTAAATAGTATGAAGATATGGGATTTACCGAGTGTATTATTCAGTTTGAAAATTAACTAACGAGAGTAAGATGATAATCAGTCATGAGAGGTTTGGGGCCTTTTTTCTCCCGTCACATTCATGTTGTGTCTGGAAAACCATGTGTTTATCTGGAAAAGACATCATTCCTGTTTCTGCATGATCTGGGGAACAATCACCTTAAATTATGATATCACAATGAAAGATGACGACACAAAGAAATATTGTATGATTAAAGTATAATTAAAAGATTGACAGATGATATCACGTCCAAGATGTTACCCACTCATACATGTAGGTAACCAACTCCTAGAAGATTTATCCAATTTTATATAATTATGTAATATTCCAAAATTACTAATGTGAAAATATAAATGTTAACATTTGTTGTGTTCCTTTCAAAAGCACATATCCTGGTTCTTCTAAGCCATTTGAATGAATGTGACTTTATCTAGTATAAACCTTGTATTTCTGTATGTAGTATTCAAAGTTCATAAGTAGCTGAAGTCAGTTAGAAGATAATAGAGAGAGTGTCAACGAAAGCAGTGATTGGCACAACATATAGTGGTTGTGGGAGAAATATAACTCAGTGTCATTGGCACAACATATAGTGGTGTGGGAGAAAATATAACCCAGGGTGATGGCACAACATATAGTGGTGTGGGAGAAAATATAACCCAGGGTGATGGCACAACATATAGTGGTGTGGGAGAAAATATAACCCAGGGTGATGGCACAACATATAGTGGTGTGGGAGAAAATATAACCCAGGGTGATGGCACAACATATAGTGGTGTGGGAGAAAATATAACCCAGGGTGATGGCACAACATATAGTGGTTGTGGAAGAAATATAACTTGTGTGATTGGCACAACAGAAAGTGGTTGTAGGAGAAATATAACTCAGTGTCATTGGCACAACATATAGTGGCTGTGGGAGAGATATAACTCGTGTGATTGGCACACCATATAGTGGTTGTGGAAGAAATATAAATCGTGTGATTGGCACAACAGAAAGTGGTTGTAGGAGAAATATAACTCAGTGGGATTGGCACAACATAAAGTGGATGTGGGAGAAATATAACTCGGTGTGATTGGCACAACATATGGTGGTTGTGGAAGAAATATAACTTGTGTGATTGGCACAACAGAAAGTGGTTGTAGGAGAAATATAACTCAGTTTGATTGGCACAACATATAGTGGCTGTGGGAGAGATATAACTCAGTGTGATTGGAAAAACATAAAGTCGTTGTGGGAGAAATATAACTCGGTGTGATTGGCACAACAGAAAGTGGTTGTAGGAGAAATATAACTCAGTGGGATTGGCACAACATAAAGTGGATGTGGGAGAAATATAACTCGGTGTGATTGGCACAACAGAAAGTGGTTGTAGGAGAAATATAACTCAGTGTCATTGGCACAACATATAGTGGTGTGGGAGAAAATATAACCCAGGGTGATGGCACAACATATAGTGGGTGTGGGAGAAATATAACTCGGTGTCATCAAGTTAACACCGTTAGTTAATTTTCAAAAGTTACAAAAGTTACAAAATACACGAGCTTTAGCGAGTGTCTTTCTGTAACTTTGAAAATTAACTAACGGTGTTAACTTGATGACACCGAGTTATATTACTCCCACAACCACTTTACGTTGTGCCAATCACACTGCGTTATATTTCTCCCACAACCACTATATGTTTTCGCACTCCCACAACATATAGTGGTTGTGGAAGAAATATAACTCGTGTGATTGGCACAACATAAAGTGGTTGTGGGAGAAATATAACTCGGTGTCATCAAGTTAACACCGGTAGAAATCGAAATGGATACAAATGGAGCTGCTCTGCGTTACTCTAGAGAAGTGATAAATACAACTGTACAATGTTGATTCTGTAAAACAGTTGATTTCTATCTGTTTTCAGTCAGATCATCCACATGATCCTGTACTCCACACTGCCCTATCTACTGATGGTGTACGGACCCAGGGCCTCCTTCCATAAGATGGTGTTTGCTGTAGCTATGGGATACGCATCAATCATGCATCTGTACCGGCTATACTATGACTTTTTCGGCTTCTCATTAGATGTGACGGGGTAGGAGAAAATGTTGGTCACTGATTGAAAAACGGAACCAAATTTGAAAGAAGTTTTGAAAAGCGATACTTGATAGAACAAGATTTTGCTTCTATTTCTTTTATATCATTTATGTTGTAAATGAATTTCTCGATGCTGTGTGCAATTTTTATACGTCCGTCCGGCGTAAACTTTTGTTTGTCCGGCTATCTCCTCCTACATTTTTCGACCGATCTCTTGGAAACTAGCAGAATCATGATATGAAGTTGTGTCTCTCTTTAAAGAATTTTGATTCGACCATTTTTTTAAAAGTGATTGCCCTTTGTTCATTTCAGTATTTGATTTTTGTCCGGCAATCACCTCCTACATTTTTCAACGGATCTCTTTGAAACTTAGTAGGCTAAATAATCATGATATGTTGTTGTGTTTCCTTGAAAAGAATTTTGGTTCGACAATTTTTGCAAAAGTTATTGCTCATTTCAGTATTTGATTTTTTATCTGGAGCTTTCTCCTACATTTTTATAGCATGTCGGCTAACCACTCTTTGAATGATGCAGAACTTATTTCAATGTAAGAAAGTATATAACACTATATGGCATTCGACGGGCGTATATTGTTCCGCTCCGCGGTACTCTTGTTAAATATGTGTACAACATTTTACAGACTGGTGTGGGCATAGGACCCTGGCCTTGGGTCCCCTAAAAACTGAAAACAAAAACTTGAATAAGATGGGCCCATCCTATTTCATTTTCTTTTAGTTTTACATATAATGGCCCCTCTAATTTCTCATACTGATTAAACATATCTGAAAATGTCCGAAGCTTCTGAGAACTCCCTGTGATAAAATATCACATCTAATCAGAAAATACTACATTGTTGTACTAGCTTAATTCATAGCCACATGGTCAGTAGAAGGGACTTGAGGAGATGTTGTGTCCAGTCAGTGACTTAACTATGGATATGAACACTGTTTGCTATCAAATTGCTTTACACTGTTTACGTTACAGACCTCTGATGTTGATGACTATGAAATGTACGAGTATGGCATTCGCTCTGCATGATGGAACGGAGAAGGACGAAGAGAAGTTGTCTGATGACCAGAAGAAAATGTGCATCAAGTACCTACTTTATTATTCTAACTAAAACTTAATACAACACAAAGAATAATCTATGGTCTAAGGGAAATATAACACAAAGAATAATCTATGGTCTAAGGGAAATACAACACAAAGAATGATCTATGGTCTAAGGGAAATACAACAAAAAGAATAATCTATGGTCTAAAGGAAATACAACACAAAGATTAATCTATGGTCTAAGGGAAATACAACACAAAGAATGATCTATGGTCTAAGGAAAATACAACACAAAGAATGAGCTATGGTCTAAGGGAAATACAGCACAAATAATAATCTATGGTCTAAAGGAAATACAACACAAAGAATAATCTATGGTCTAAGGGAAATATAATACAAAAAATAATCTATGGTCTAAGGGAAATATAACACAAAAAATAATGTTTGGTCTAAGGGAAATACAACACAAAGAATAATCTATGGTCTAAGGGAAATACAGCACAAATAATAATCTATGGTCTAAGGGAAATATAACACATAAAATAATGTTTGGTCTAAGGGAAATACAACACAAAGAATAATCTATGGTCTAAGGGAAATACAACACAAAGATTAATCTATGGTCTAAGGGAAATATAACACAAAGAATAATCTATGGTCTAAGGGAAATATAACACAAAGAATAATCTATATTGGTCTAAGGGAAATAATTTGTTACATACCAGACGTTGATTATAAATCATACATGTTTAAGTTATAGTCTAGACTGAAGGGAGACAACTTCCTAGAGACCTGTTATCAGGTATATAAGCTGTTTTATAATTACAGAAAGATAGAGACCTATTTATCAGGTATATAAGCTGTTTTATAATTACAGAAAGATAGAGACCTTTTTATCAGGTATATAAGCTGTTTTATAATTACAGAAAGATACTGACCTGTTTATCAGGTATATAAGCTGTTTTATAATTACAGAAAGACCCCCAGCATCCTGTCCTACTACAGCTACATCTTCTGTTTCCATGGCGTCATGGCTGGGCCCCTTGTCTTTTACACTGATTACACCCATTTTATCAATGGAGAAAATCTCAAAGTTTCAGAACCAGAAACAAAATCTGTAAGTTCAACTTAACTCTACGTTATCACCAGTGAGTGTACTATTCTGCTTCCTCCAAATTACTGTTGTTTGAACAAAAGGTCTGTTTATCCATTGGCAAATTTCAATCACTTGGTGACCCCCTAAAATCCCTAAGGGCCAAAGTCAAATTACTGTTGTTTGAACAAAAGGTCTGTTTATCCATTGGCAAATTTCAATCACTTGGTGACCCCCTAAAATCCCTAAGGGCCAAAGTCAGATGCTTTTCAAACCAAGATTTTCATCTGCATGGCATACCTAATGATGGACTTAATAATATTGAAATAAATAAAAAAACAGTAAGAGGTGAAACGGTTCATCAATGAGTAACATAACAGTTNTTCATCAATGAGTAACATAACAGTAAGAGGTGAAACGATTCATCAATGAGTGACATAACAGTTAAAGGTGAAACGATTCATCAATGAGTTG